TGGTGCTTGTGAGACACCACTGAACAGAACTAGGAGGGTTTCAAGGCAGTAGACTATATACAGACATTTATATTATCAGTAAAAGTACAGTTTTATGTGAAAAACGCAAAAAAAAAAACGGAACACTAACTTTGGCTAGCATTTGTGCCCAAGTGGCTACTACAAAAGACTGGCCATACCCCATTTTGAATACCCTGGGATGTCTACTTTTTCAAATGGTATGCCATTAAGGGGTAATTTTCATTTCTTGGCTGCCATACGGTCTCAAAGTCAGCCTAGACACAGCAAACTAATCTGACAAATTCCATTGTAAAAAAGCATAAATGGATAAGCCGTATATATGACCCTGTAACTTTCAAAAACCCCATAAAACCTATACATGGGGGGTACCGTGGTGCTTGTGAGACACCACTGAACAGAACCAGGAGGATTTCAGGGCAGTAGACTATATACAGGCGTTAATATTATCAGTAAAAGTACAGTTTTATGTGAAAAACGCAAAAAAAACCCGGAACACTAACTTTGGCTAGCATTTGTGCCCAAGTGGCTACTACAAAAGACTGGCCATACCCCATTTTGAATACCCTGGGATGTCTACTTTTTCAAATGGTATGCCATTAAGGGGTAATTTTCATTTCTTGGCTGCCATACGGTCTCAAAGGCGGCCTTGTCACATCAGACTAATCTGACAAATTTGAATGTGAAAAAGCATAAATGGATAAGCCGTATATATGACCCTGTAACTTTCAAAAACCCCATAAAACCTATACATGGGGGGTACCGTGGTGCTTGTGAGACACCACTGAACAGAACTAGGAGGGTTTCAGGGCAGTAGACTATATACAGACATTTATATTATCAGTAAAAGTACAGTTTTTATGTGAAAAACGCAAAAAATAAACCGGAACACTAACTTTGGCTAGCATTTGTGCCCAAGTGGCTACTACAAAAGACTGGCCATACCCCATTTTGAATACCTTGGGATGTCTACTTTTTCAAATGGTATGCCATTAAGGGGTAGTTTTCATTTCTTGGCTGCCATACGGTCTCAAAGGCAGCCTAGACACAGCAAACTAATCTGACAAATTCCATTGTGAAAAAGCATAAATGGATAAGCCGTATATATGACCCTGTAACTTTCAAAAAACGCCTAAAACCTATGCATAGGGCATACCGTGCCGCTCATGAGACATCACTGAATAGAACTAGGAGTGTTTCAGGGCAGTAAACTATATACTGACAATAATATTATCAGCAAAAATACAGTTTTTATTTGAAAAATGAAAAAAAAAAAATGAACACTAACTTTGGCTAGCGTTTATGCCCAAGTGGCTACTACAAAAGACTGGACATACCCCATTTTGAATACCCTGGGATGTGTACTTTTTCAAATGGTATGCCATGATGGCGTAACTTACATTTCTTGGCTGCCATACGGTCTCAAAGGCAACCTAAGCCCAGCAAAGCAATCTGTGAAATTTCTATGTAAAAAATAAATAAATAGACAAGACGTATATTTGACCATGTAACTTTCAAAAACACCATAAAACCTATACATGGGGGGGTACTGTTTTACTCATGAGACATTTCTGAATACAAATATGTATGTTTTATTGCAGTAAAACCAAACAGTATTGTGACATTATCAGTTAAATTGACATGCAGAAATTGAAAAATATCAACATTTCTTAAGTTTTTTAACTTTTTTAGATTTTATTCATATAAAATGGAGTTCTATATATGAATGTTTGATATGGAATGAAAGCCCTGTTTCCCCTGAGCAAACCGATATATAATAAGTGTGGGTGCACTTAGTATGAAAGAGGTATATTATAGTTGAACAGACAGAGAGTCAAATTCTGTGGTTTGTTTACATTTTGGTTTGATCACAACTTGTACATTTGGCTCCGTCCTTAAGGGGTTAATGATGTAACGTCATTAATTAATAAATACCATTACAATGATAATTATACTAATATAATGTTGTTTGTTTTTCTCTCTTTTTAGCTCTGAAAACAGCTGTGGTCATTACGGCCAGTTCCCTATAATGGTAACATATAGCACTGGTATTGTGTAATCCTAAAATAAGTTCTCCTCTTCTCAGCTCATACGTGCCATGCAGTAATGAGTAAACAGTGTGTTTGGTGCTGTGCGTGATTTTTTTTCTGTCTTTTACCATGTTGGCGTGCACAGCACTAACCTCCATCAATCAGCTCAATATGCATTCTTCCTGAATTCTGTGTAATTTGTCATTTAACCAGACAGAAATAATTAATTCATTAATTCACTGGAAATACTAGAGATCAGTGAATTCTGTTTATAAATCGGATCCATTTAATGTTCCTGGAGTTGGTTATACATTTATTGAAGTTATTTGGAGGTGAGCTATAAAATGTAGAGTAATTCTGATCCATGATTCCAATTATGTAAATTGAGAAAACTGTTATTTCAATTTAAGAAGCTGTATCACTGTGATCCCCCAGTACTCTGGTGTATTTTGCTTCATCGTCAAGTCTAACATATTGTTTGAAAAACAAGCTTTCAGGAGAGCCTCCCAGGCTAAGCATTTCTGAACAAAATGACAATGCAAATCATCAGTTTTTAGTGTTTTTAAATTCCTTTAAGCTTGACATCCATGTATTCATTTTGAACATATATTCTTTAATTGTAATTAAGGGAGGTTCTAAATAAGGTTTTGTGTTCAAGCATTATTACATACCTTCCAACTTCGGCAGTCCAGGAATTTGTACGCCAGTGACACAATCACGTAGTTGGCTTCACCTAAAATGTATGGACCCTCCCAGACATGGGGACAGGCTCACCCACATTACTGCCAGGTCAGCCTGGTGTGAATACATTCTGTGTCACAATCATTTTAGCCATTCCCCTGAGGGCAGGCCCTGCAGAGAGCACCAATTCAGTGCTCCCTGAATATAGTGCGAGCAGATCTTGTGACGGGACTAAATCGGAACAGCAGGACAGGACCAACAAAAAATGGCTCTCCTGACAAAATTTAGACTGTTGGGAGGATTGATAATACAATAAAGGTCCTCAAAGATCCTATTCTAAGGAGGAATGTCACTCATTCCGTAGCAGGGATCATAGAGCTGCTGATGGTATATAGGCAGAACATTTGTTACCATTTATTATAAAATAAATTAGAAAGAAGTCTACCATTTCACATATAAAATCACTGATAATAAAAATGTAAGTGATGTGGGAGAGCTGGGGGGAGGTGGATAAACTATATAGTCACTAGTAAAGTAAATATAAACTATATAATATGCAATGATCTGTAGATGGTTCCCTAGTTTACAATAGATTTGAGTTGATTATGATATGTGTATATTTTGAATATAAATTAACGTCTGATTGTCTAACTTTTACTTTGTTTTTGGTGAAACAATCATTTACTGTAAAGATTTGTTATTTTTTAAATCAATAAAATATTTTAGATACAAAACAAAGTTCCTCCACTTTCGTGTTTTGCATTTTTGGTAAATTTGTTCTTACAGCACAAACAAACATGGACTCAACAGAGATACATTTGACACCGGTAACCTGGAAATAAATGTTCAGAGCTGCTTGATTCACAGACTGACTTTTAATGTTATTCACTAAAGTAATAATTCAAAGTGAATTTCAAACTTAAAGGGACACAATAGACACCAAGACCACATCATCTCATAACGCAGATGAATTACATTAAGCCACCGCATCCAATCAGTTCGGGATGGCGCTATATAGGCATTTTAAACCGAAGGAAGGAGAAGATCCTTCCTGACACTTCTGGATGCCCCTGAGTAAGTCCTGTTATGGAGAAAATGTGTAGGGCTGGGAGACCCATACAATGATGTGATTTCTGTATTGTCATTACTTTCATTTTTCTTTTATTATAACTTTAATGATTTTCATTTTATTGGATTATTTTATGTCACTATATTGTCCCTGCTCCTGAGGGATCCTACCTGTTTTCCAGGCTCTGGAAGAGCAATATTTCACTGTTCAAGATATTTTAAACCATGTGCTCAGCAGGGGTTAATTCAGACTGACACACAATAACAGCAAATAATGCATAACATAATAAGGCACCGAAACATAATAAAACACAGACTCAGATGTGTGCTGAAAAGGCCGTGGTCTTTTATTTAGTTTAAAAATAATACAAACAGAACTTCACTTTTTAAAAAAAATCGTTATTTTCGTTGTGCACAAAAGTAACAGTAAGCCTTGGTGTGCCACAACAGCGATATCAGGATATTATAATAAACATTTGCTGTATGGGTTGTGGTAATCAATAGTCAGGCACATTTTTCAGGTTAGAGAGAACAAAATTGCAGCAGTATAGGTTCTCAGTTAGCGTAAACATTGGATTATGTACCACAATTTTATAGTTTAAACAGGTTTAGCTCAGTGATGCTGTAACGGACCGTTTTGCCCACAAGAGGTTAAAAACCGTTTAGGCGATATTCCCCTTTCAGATGTACAGACAGCTACTGCAATCACCAATCTCCCGAACTGCAAACTACATGAATTCTCCAACTCCCGAACAGGAAACTCACGAATACTGGAAACAGCTGAACAGGAAAAACCATATGACCTAAACATATGAAAAAACATATTACACTCCTGGCAGTCAGCATACAATCCAATTCCCCCAATAACGAGAAAACACTTCATTTTGAGGGTTAAGCAGAATCTGGTTTACTGGGGCTAACTGCCCGGCTTTTATGCAGGTCTCCCACCTGGAGGACACTCTCCTAGGGGACCAGATGGGAAACTGGGACACAAAGGGTAAAAGAACCAGTCACAGACTTACACATTTCAACCATCCCACAATGCATCACAATTCCTCCTCTCTGCCCTGGAGATAATTGGGAAGTAATCCAATTATCTCCCAGGACAGAGGCAAAACTCAATTAACCACATGGCAGAAAACAAACAGTAAAAGACATAAAATTACATACAGTTACATTCAGTACATAAAACCTACACATTCTACATATCCCCAGATAGCTTAGATCTGAGCGCACATTATTACTGAATGGCGCTCAGATCACATACATACAGTTCAATCGCCATGGAGCCAAAGTCTTTCACATAGTCTTTTCGTTACACGAACATTCTCCATGGCTTAGCTATCTGGGTGATGCTGTTCATCCGGTTAAACTACCAAATGAACAGTCATTCTGTTCCGCTCCCGAATGGGAAGGGAAGGAGGCTGGCGGCTCAGCGGTGTTTGTGCAATTAAGTGTCTGTTTTCAGTTCCATAGTTTAGGCGCTGAACACCGCTGGCTGTTCGGGAGGTAAAATGGCAGCTGCCACGTATTCGGCAACCGAACAAAAGCCTCCCACCGTTCATCAATTAAGCTGCGGTTAACCGCAGCTTCTGGGCGGTCAATTGACGGCACACTCCAGTTCCCAGGTGGTCCATCGTTCGGTAGTTTGTTCGGTAGATTGAATCTACCGAACACCCTGGCAGAAAGGCACGAATAAACCTTTCAGCAGGGAAAATAACAGGTCTGAACTGCAGGGCCATAGTCCAAAGGGAGCAGGCGAGCAACCAGGCTTCTCCAATGTACAGTGGCGAGGTTGGTTTCGCCACAGATGCATCAGCCGTAAAGGTAAGGTAAACATGCAAACATACGTGATTATACATGACATTAAACCATCAACAGTACTAGTGAGTTCTAAATTAGCTGGATCATATGTTTTTCATGCGTGTCCTATGTGTTTGTTACTACAGATTAGTTGGTCGACGTGGGGCATGCATGGCTATGTACAAACAGGGCAGGATACATGTTTGTGAGATGCGGGTAACAGGGGGGTGAAGGGGACGAGTGACTTGCCTGACAGGCAGGCTCGTCGACCTGAATTTGGCCGGTGGCAGGCCATCTAGGCACACATTTAGTGGGCGTTATTGTGTAGCGATTATTAATATAAACAACGATCACTAAACTTTTAAGCATTGCATAACATGAGAGTTCAGTGTTGAACATCGGTCTCGGCTTGGGAGGCTGTAGATGAGACTAGCCTGAGTCCGTTTTGACTGAGGTTCCGGGCAGTGTCCTCCGTGTTGCCTGGGATGTGAGTACCCCTTCAGCCGATGCACAGCATAGGAAAAGGCATTAGGGAGGCATGTAAGTCCTGCTGGGGCAGGGCAAAGTCCAGCTGTATTAATTCCGGTGTTGGGCCCGTTCGCCTATCGCTTTGGGTACCTGTGGTCATGGTGCAGGTAGATGGTGCCCCTGTCTTGGACTCTGGAACTCCCCGTGGTGTTGTCAGGTTCCGTGCTGTGATGGGAGTCTGCCTCTCGGAGGTTGCTTAGCAGGACTCTGCTTCATGCAAGGTTTAGTTGGAACCTGCAAGTCACTGCGAGTTGTCATCACTGCTTGGTTCAATCACTTGCGGGCAGGCAGGAGAGATCTGCATCTTCGGCGCCATCTTGTGACTGCCTTCGAAAAGGGGTCAATGCAGCTCTGGCCGGCACGAGTGGGTCTTTCTTTGGATAAGGTCGCTGGTATGTTAATCTGCCTCTCTCTGTGTGCCAGTTTTGCCCAAAAGGCGTAGAAGATTGCGTCCAACCTTGTCAGAATGTCGGTCCCCACTTTGCGCCATTGTAGACGCACGTGGCATCCGCCATTGTGTGGGCCTGTGTGGCTAGAAATTGCCTGTGGGGCTCTGCTATCTGTGTCTGCTGTGGCCATTCTGTCAACCCCACCGGTCCTTAAGGGGGGGAGCGGGCGATCAGTGGCTCAGTGCTCCCAGTGTAGAGGCGAGGATAGCAGCCCCTTCCCCCAGCCCCGTCCTCCGCAGGCCACAGTGGGCCACTTCAGGTTCAGGCTTGTGGGAAATACTCATGTCTGGTATCAGGCGGTTCACCAGGGTGCCCCCATTGTGGGTAGTGTATCCCGGCATCTTTTTAGGCATCAAATCTATGAGTATTTCCTTAAAATCCACTTTGGCATTGGGAGCTCCTCTGCCATGCAGCCGTTCAGTTTGCAGGTCAGGCCCCCGCCCCCCTTATTAACTTTATAACCAAACAACTCCAGTCTTTAAACCCCAAGAGAATTAACCAAGCATCTCCGGTCTTTAAACCCCAGAGATTTAACACATACCTCAACAGAGTTCTGCCCTGGCCAGAACTTAAGCCAAATGATAACGAAAATCAGCCAGTACAGCCCCCCTTTAAAGTAGGCAGGTGACTTTAACCCCAATTAAAGACCACAACAATTGAATATAGGGAGGGAGGGCGGGGAAAAAAGCTCCACAGTACGGTAATTTCTTCTTTTTCTTGGTGCCATACTTCATCTCAGGGCACCTTATATACCATTTTTTACCGCGCCAGAGCACCCAATCAGAGAGATCACATTCTGGCAGTACCAACGTTCAGATTAACTCTAAATGAAAAAATCTAATGGTCGTGCCCTTCAAAAGAGCTGACTGTATATTAGCATAGGATAATCTTCTGCCTTCCAGGGGTATTGGATTTTATTGTAGCTTTATTAAACTGCAAATATTATTCAAGCTATTCTGGAATTTCAATTCCTTATGTCTGAAGAGTGATCTCTTACTTCATACCAGAAAATTAAGACCTCCACACACTAATTTCCACTGATATGTTTTAACCTTGGATTTGTTATTCTGGTATTTTTTGTCAATCTTTGTTTGTTTATTTTTTTTCTTTGGGTTCTTTTTTTTGTCAAAAGGTAGTGCTCCCATCAGAGCACTGTCTGTGCGGATCCCTGTATGGACAGTTCACGAGGGCACTGCAACGGCCGTTGCTGAATGCCCTCGCGACTACAACTATTCGCGCCGCAACTTGACCCTGAATAACCCCGCAACGCACATGTGTACCTAGTCGATTGACTAGGTACATTCTTGTGCTCAGCAGGGGTTAATTCAGACTGACACATAATAACAACAAGTAATACATAGCATAACAAGGCACAGAAACACAATAAATAAAACACAGACTCAGAAGTGTGCTGAAAAGGCTGTGGTCTTTTGTTTAGTTTAAGAATAATACAAACATAATTTATTAACTTTATAACCTATTAGCCTTATTAGACCAGAACTTAAACCAAATGATAACACACGCTGCAGCCCACCCCACAAGACCACAGCCTTATCGATCATGCACTGCAAATCGTTATTAAAAATATCCAACCCAACATCAGATAAGTGAATACCATCTATATAAACAAGCCTTCGCATTGCCCTTCAATGTCGACATGGTGAAAAGAAAAACCACCAACTGATGGCATTAATTTCTCCATGGCTTTATTAAGCTTGTGCCTAACTCTAACGCGTTAAGCTTAGCACCAAATTAACCTTGGGACTATTTCGGACCAAATAATTAGTGAGTCAGAAAACATTTGCTTAAAATAAAGCACATCATCCTTAAGCTGATGAAACAAAACTACTGACTTAACCCGGCCTACATCATTACTACCATAATGAAAAATAATAACATGTGGCCAAGGAATTTGGTCAACATAATCTTGTAAGATTTTAAAAACATTGTCTCTTAATAGACCCCTTACACCAACCCAATAAATTAAAACAGACTCCTCATCAAAACTCAAGTTCTTGCCATGTGACCTTTCCACCGCTCTTCTATGTGCCCAGTGGATGAAAGAATGGCCTACTATCCAAACAATCACAGGTCTCGTATCTGAAACAGAAAGAAACAAGCCAGTATAATAAAATCATCAAGTTCTAACAAATTTTAAATCTGCTCAAGGACCATCGACCAACTTTTTTAACCGCCTCATTCGAGAGACCATGTGATACAGACTCTGTTACAGCACCTATACGAAACAAATGAGAAGTAATCCTCTTATCATTAATACCCAGCCCTTTACATGATAACTGAAGACCAGTGTATCAAAAGACTGCCTTGACCTTTTGGACGAATACTTAAATAAACCTTGACTTCCTTATCTGGGCATAATGCATGATGTATTGCTCGGAATTGAACTCATTGACCTTTCCCTAGCTGGTCAGTTTTCGATCTCCTTAATAAAATTCTTAAAAATTAATTTTGTAAATAAATTTTTTTCAATTGGATACCTTAATGGCAAGACTTGTTAGCAGAAACTAATCCTGAAAGGTCCAAAAAATACCAAAAAAAAAAAGCTGTAGTAAAAAGTTGGGTCTCAAATGCATCTTTACAAACGTAGCTCAAACCCGTTGTTATGGACTGGCGCTTTCTTTATCCAGGCCCCCTTTAACATTTGCTGAATAATGAATTCATTAAACACTTACTTCTTCCCTAATACTTTTAAGGAAAAAGGAAATGCCTAATAGGGCTGCTTTTAAAAGAAAACTTGGATACACCGGCCTGAATTTTTGTAATCACATATTGAATTGGATCCTGTATAGTGGGATCAGTACCATCCCTATTTAAGTTAAGCATAACCTGCTGCCATTCTTCCCAAGCCTTCAGGTCTTCTGGACAGGTCTTCCTCAGGGGTTTGTTGGTGGGTGGGGGAAGAGGACAAGGAAATAGAGGTGAAGCGGTAATCAAAGGCCCACTGGTGTAATTAGTACATCTGGAGATACCTTGCCTAACTCTCACCTGCAGTACCAGAGAGAAGGGGACTTGTCATAGATACAGGTGAATAAAGGGTAAAAAAGACTTTTTGTCTTAGTTAAGTCTTTCCACGTCAGCAGGGGTTAAAAGTAAGAATTTTCTCTCTCCTGTTTGCAATCAATTACAGTTTCACACATACTCCCTTTTTGTCTCTCACAAGATAATATTTGCATAGTTTTGAGAAGATGTGCTAGACATGTGCAGTAGAATAACTGTAATACGTAATGTTATATGATAAATGATCCTTTTTGCTCTGAAACTTTGTTGATTGGTTGATTTTGTCTTCTGTTGGAAACACCCCAATGAAAACTGTTTGTTTCAAATATACACTGTACCCGCATTGAAAAAGACACTATTTTTCTGGAACTTCATAATGACTGTTGTACATTAATTGTTCTCTGCAGTCAACATATATCAAGAGAGATTAAGGAAAGCAGGATGTATTACCAGCATATGTCAATGGCAGCATAACCCATCAAGGACACATGACATGTCATGATTCCCTTTTATTCCAGAAGTTTGGACCCTGTAAATTTTGCAGCTCATCTGCCCTCTAACCCTGCTTCCTACACCTATCGGACATTATCCCACTGGCACTATCTCTGTTTGCAAAGTCTTTATTGGGAATACATTAACAAGAAGGATCTCACTGCTCCCTTCTCGGGCAAAGCGCTCAATAAAACATAGCAAGAAAAAGATAGGTTTAAACCATCATAAAGGAGTCACCTAAAACATTAGATTACTAAAGAGAAGATGTCTAAATCACACAAAAAGAAAGAAAAATGACAACAATCACACCTCAAATCGTGTAAATGTGAAAAAGATGTAATACTCCAAAGCTCCCACTAGATGGCGACATAAATACAATATTTAGAGTATAATGCAAGATCCAGCATGTAGATTTATCAATTCACCACTAGATGGCGGTAAAATTATAAATCATCAATCTGAGTTTATATTTCTTAAGAGTGAAAAGAAAAGATACAAAGTAGCCCTGAGTGATACAGACTTATAGAAGATACCATTAAAGACAGACACAATGTTAAAGATGCTAATTACGTCTGGAGGAATTAACTTCAATAATATTAGATTGTAAGGGAGGGGGAGAAGTGGATCCTCATTGCTAATCGATACTGACTGAGTCCTGATACCAGATTGGGTTTTCCTGATATTAGGAGACAGAATATAAATATACAGATATCTTCTTTACTTTATTCATGGATCTACTTTCATAGCATTCCTAGTATTCTATTTATATAGCAGATTGCTGTGTAAAGAAAACACTAAAACTCCCTAAAAGGACTAAAAGGTAAGAAGTAATTACTGAAATAAAGAATAAATAAACTTTATTGATTTAAATAGACATCCACATGGAATGGTGCAATTAGTAAACAGCTTGGGGGGGAGGGGGGATTTAACTTCAATTAATCAACATCAACCCCTTATTATTACAATCCAAGACCTTAGTAACACAGGTAGAAACCTTTGTCCATGAGCTCTGATCCATGCTATATACCACAATTTAAAAGAACACATACAATGTGAGACATAGAAGACACAAAACATATGCAGTAGGTATTGCACTGGATCATTTAAAGCATCTGTAGTAATAAAAAGGTTAGCTTAGAGCACAAAATGAAGCATGTGTTGGACCGCTGAAAATGTAAATGTTGCTCTCTTATTTACAAACAAAAATCATATTTACAGTATGGATCCTTTGCAACAAACACACAGGGCAGGGACGATGTGCTGATTGGTGTTCTATACAATTAATCCCATACGGGGAATTAACTTTCAAATACTAATGAAGTGACTTTTTGTCTCAGTATAAAAATACTGAGCTCATCATGCAAACAATGTAACACATTTACACTATCCCACTCTCATAGAAAGTGTAGTGGGCTTATAGTATTAAAGTAACAATCATACCAGGCACACAGAGACCATGTGAAATAGCTTACAATAAAACAGAGTAATAAACTATACTTCTATGCAACAGAAAGAATAAAACAAAAGATTTAAGTACGTCTATCAGGTACAACCTGCGAGTCAATTTTGGGGTA